TGGATCTAGCAACATCAAATATATCAGTTTTTTTTTCTATCAACGATGCTGATGAGTTGTGATTTGGATTTTATTTCAATCATAGAATCAAAACCAGAGAACAATTGAGTAAAACTGATCGATATCTTCAAAGCGAATCTCCGAATAAATTATTATCAGGTAAATGAGAAGGTGTAATGGAACTTGCGCACATATCAGTTATTTACCCATAAACAGTTATTGTCTATTATAATAAAACAAGTGGATCCTATTGGATAACGAGACAACTCAATACTTTATGATTACTTGAGAACTAGTTAAAACTATACTTCCTAATTATTTTGACTACATTCTTGTCGTACAATGGTGTATGTATCGGTGCACGTTAGAAATATAGTTAAAATAGTTAGGAAGTATAGCTTTAACTTGTCCTTAAGTAATCATGAAGCATTGAGTTGTCTCTTTATCCTATAGGATTCGCTTGATTCCGAAATAAAACATGTCAAAAGACTTTTAAAATATGAAAAGAAAACAAATTGTAAAAACCACACATTTTAACGAGTTATGAACACGTTCGTCTTTTATCCAATTTTAAGTTTTTTTTCTTTTTATTGATTTTGTCTGACTGCAAATAAATATATGTGAAAAAGCCTAAACAATGAATTATTTCAATGGATCTCAGTCGAAATTTGCCCAAGAAGAACGAAAAAAAAAATCCAAAGCAATAAATATCCAGGTTTTACCATGCGACAAATAAAATTTAAGAGAACGTAATATTAAAGTGTGGTTGTTAACATGACTCTTTCACAATGTGTCATTACTTTATTCAAACAAGGAATTGCAAAAGCAAGTGAAGCCTACGACACAAAGCTGTTGTAAATCCATTTAAACGAAAAAACTCATAAAACATATCATATATTCAATATATATTTCAACATTCCAAACATCTCAGCAATTTTTATTTATGTCAACCAAAATTATTCCAACTCTTCTTACACTACCAGTAGAACTTGTCTACCGAATTCTCGATCATCTTGATGATATCGCTATTTGTTGCTCGACACGGAACATTTGTATACGTATGAATGCAATTGTTGACAGCTACCATCGATATCAGGTAAAACAGTATTATATCTGAAAACCTGAATTTCATCATTTTCAACAAATGATTCATTTATCTAAGATATCAATCTATATACAATCTGACGAGTATATTTTTCTTGGCTAACCATCCACTACTAGACTAAATTGAATAAATTTGATGATCCGTTGAAAACTGTGATTGATTACTGACAATTATTGTAGTTCGTTAAAACACATCATCTTTAGTAATTCAACCATCACGAATATGAGTATCACTCGTTGCGATAACGACCAATTGAAGAGTCCTAAATGAATCATACTCAAAAATTACATTTCAAAGATCACCATTGAAACCGATGTAACGAAAAAACTACCCAGAACGACCTTTTCCAGGAACAATGTCTTTACAACACTATTAAATTACTGATACAGAACAATATATAAGCAGTTTCTTTCTATTGAACGTCAGCTAAAACAATACATACAACTATAATTATATTTAAGAATTGAACGAAGAAATCAAATAGTGCACCAAGTGTGAGAGCAAAAACAGCTCTTCCTATTGATGAAAAGTTTTCTTTTTTCTAAATGAAACTTTGACGAGTATATTAGGGCTTATTATTCTAAAATTTTTCATCCAGTACTTCACTTCATCATTCTTTCCAGAGCTCCGAAATTCGTAACATAGATTTCAAAACCATTTGAAAACAATTTACATACACCACAGTAATTTATATACTTCATCATATTTTTCAATGTTTTTTCTCAAAAAGAAAAAAAATCAAATATTTTTCGATTGAAACAAGTACTACGAATTACAGATCCCATTACAATATTCCTTCGCAAATTCTTCAATCATTTCCACTTTCTTCCTTCCACATACAGACACTTACCACAGTGAACATCCATTGGTTTCGAATAACTGATCAAGAAGTAAAATATCTTGCCAAACTTTTAGAACAACACCAAGTAATATTCTTATGTTTTTTATCTATTATTCACTGCCTGTTCAAGACAGACATTAACTACCCTCGACCTCAGTGAAAATGCAATCGGTGTTCAAGGAGCACAATATCTAGCCGAAGCTCTCGAACAAAACAAAGTAATATTCTCACCTTCTCTATATATCACTCATTGATTCTACTAAACAGACACTCACTACACTGAATCTCTATTACAATCAAATCGGTTACCTAGGAGCACAATACCTTGGCAAAGCTCTCGAACAAAACAAAGTAATATCTTTACTTTATCTATCTTTCATTCAATGCCAAATCAAAACAGACACTGACTACACTCAGCCTCAGTCGAAATATAATCGGAGCTCGAGGAGCACAATGTATTGGTCAAGCTCTCGAAAAAAACAAAGTAATATCCTCATTTTCTCAATCTATTACTCATTGTCCGTTCAAAACAGACACTAACCACACTGAGCCTCTACTGGAATGAAATCGGCACTCAAGGAACACAACATCTTGGCAAAGCTCTCGAACAAAACAAAGTAATATCCTTATCATTTCTATCTATCATTTATTTCCTGTTCAAAACAGACATTAATGACATTCAATATCGGTGGCAATCAAATCGACGCCCAGGGAGCACAACATCTTGGCAAAGTTCTTGAGCAAAACAAAGTAATATCCACACTGTCTCTATCTATCATTCAGTGTCTAGTCAAAAGTAGACACTAACCACGCTAGACCTTAGTAACAATCAAATTAGTGATAAGGGAGCACAACATCTTGCCAAAGCTCTTGAGCAAAACAAAGTAATATACTCATCTTATCTATCCATCATTCATCGTCTGTTCAAAAGTAGACACTAACCACGCTGGATCTTAGTAACAATCGAATTGGTGATGAAGGAGCACAACATCTTGCCAAAGTACTCAAAAAAAACCAAGTAATATCCTCATCTTTTCTATCTATCATTCAATATCTGTTCGAAACAGACACTAACCACGTTGAATCTCATTAACAATTTTATTGGTAATGAAGGAACACAACATTTTGCCAAAGCTCTCGAAATAAATCAAGTAATATCCTCATATTCTCTATCTGACATTAACTTTCTGTTGAAAATAGACACTTACTGTACTAAACCTCAAGTACAATACAATCGAGGTTGAAGGAGCACTGCATCTTTTCCATGCTCTGCAACAAAAGCGAATACTATTTTAATTTCTTTTCTGACTTTTCTTTACGTACACTCAACCCTATTGTCAAGTGATATTGTTCTAGAGTTTCTGTTGTGCGGTTTGTTAAACAACACTATCTTTTGATTTTTCTTGAGACAGAAATACATTATTTGCTTCTCATTCTCAGTCAACACAGCGTTAGTAGAGTGACCAATAGGTATGGCTGCAAACAAGTGTCTTTCGACTGAGATTGATTTCAAGTGTGAACCAAGTTTGTTTTTATTGCATTTCGAATTTCTGTCGGCTCGATACAATCAAATGTGGGGTGTGGGTGTGGGTGTGGGTGTGGGTGGGTGTGGGTGGTTCAATAGTTATTGAGAGAAAGCAAATTGGTACCCTTGAACGGAGAACAAATTAGCAGATGAACAGCTTATATTGCATAGCTAAGATTCAAATAAAAGCTTGTTAAAATCAATTCAACTGATTTTACATGATCGCTATCTGAAATTTTGAATCTTACCATTTACATTTCTAATTGATTACTGTGATTAGACAATTTTTATTGACTATATGTCAAATCACTAAATGCAACCAAGAAATTTCCATATGCTACGATTCAACCTTTGTTACTTTTACGAAAATGTATACTTTGACTTTAATATTTTGCAGAATAACTATTTTTACAATTAATTTATTGACAGTGATAGCCACTTTGAAGATCCACAGATTGTCTATCACTTACGTTTCTTCTATAGAAATCGAAAACTACACATCAGCCATCCTATAAAGGGAGAATGTGTGTGTTGGTTTGAGATGTGAATGTGTGAATAAGCAAATGTGAGATTATGTGTGATTGGTTGAATAGATGAAGAAAAGAATCACAATGGTACGCACATCTACATAAACGCCAACACATATATCAAAATCCAAATTCAGATTCATACACATACAACTTCATACATATATTTGATATTTTATCTATAGGAAAAAAAATGCTCTCTTCATCCTTGTATTAGTAAATAAGATGTAAATTCACGATACATATATATCGGTTCTGTTTCATTTGATAACGGTTTTGATCCCCTGTGACTTTACAGTACATACATATGGCGACATTAGATCAAGTCTGAAACGAAATGTAATATTTCTTGTAAACTTCTATATAAATTAAGTTGAACACACCTCCAATGTAACATTTTTTGCGTTTTTGAAGCATATGAAATGCCTTTTAGATACATTTCAATGCAAAACATATTTATATGAGCAGTCTTGACAATGCAAATAATAGGCTGATATTTGTCTTAATTTCAATACTAATACCAAAGTATTAACATTTTTACAATACTAATACTTGTTTGCTATACTTAGATACAATATAAAACCAACAGAAAAAGAAGAAACTGTGCTTGCTTATTTCTTTATCAAAAAGATATTTTATGTTTCAACACGAATCGAATCGCAAGAAGGTTACACTTTTTCACTCTTGTTGTTATATTAATGTCTTGACTATTGTATATTTTAGTTTTTCTGGTCGGTTGTATTTCTATTAGGTGCAGCGATCGTGTTAATACCCTCTCTCATTGCTATTAACAAACGTGCTAAAGGCAGTCCTGGCGAAACGACGTCTTCTGTAACAACTCGGAATGCCGACGATTATCAGTCAAATAGTGACTACTATCAGTCATTGGCAAATATCCATGATTTTGAGCAATCAGATAATCTTCGTTTGGATCGTCTCTCTTCTCCTCGATTTCATCCAATGAATGGAAAGAGTGTCATCTATTTAAGACGACAGTTTCATATGCCTGATTCACGTAAATCAACAACAACGTTACATTGGCTCGATTTGGAAACAAATAAGAGTGTTCAATTGACGCGACAAATTTGGGGAATACACGATGGACAAGTAAGAATAAAATTATTTCATCTATACATTCACATTGTTGTTTTCCTTCAGTTCTTTTGGGTTGATAATGATACTATTCTCTTTTTATCTAATCGAGCTTCATCAGGTCTTCGTCAAATTTTTCAACTTACGCTTCCTGTCGATTTATTAAAAACAACTATTACTTTCATTGAGCCGATTCAAATAACAAATTATTCATTGAATATTGATAATCTGTTAGTGAATAGACAAGCATCACGTCTTGCATTTAGCTGTCAAGTCTATTCAAATTTAACGATCGAAGAAACATTTGCTCGACAAACAGCTGAGAAAAATAGCGGTCGTTCAGTTTACCAATTCGATAAGCTATTTGTCCGACACTGGGATGAATATATGACAGGTCCACGCCACCATCCGTTTCTGGTTTCAATCGAACGACAAGTCAATGGAATATTCAAATTTTCTTCGGAACCGATTGACGTACTTTTCAATGTAGATAGTGATTCACCGACAAGACCTTTTGGTGATGCTCAATCACAATGGTCATTCAGTGCAACTGGTAATTCGTTTGCATACACTCGACAATATGATGAAACGAGTGCTGTAGCTTGGTCAACCAATTTAGATATTTACACCGTGGATTTGAGTATGCCTGAACAACCGAGTCTGTGTATTACTTGCGAGAATTTGGCAACCGATACCGATCCGTCTTATTCACCAACAGATGATAATGTGTTGGTCTACCGATCACAGTCAAAACCAGGATACGAGTCTGATCAATTCAAAATAAAATGGTACAATGGTTAGTCATGTTATTTTTGTGCGGTTCAAAATTTGCACCGTTCGTTCTTATTCACATTTTAGGATCGAATTCGAAAATAACGCTACTTGACAATTGGGATCGAAGTATTCAAGCTGTGACATGGTCCCATGATGGTCAATCTCTTTTTCTTGAACTTGGTGAAGAAGCAAGGAATGTCATCTATCATTTATTGAATCTATTGAAAAATGAATCCCTCACTCGTCTAGTAAGTAGTGGTACATCACGCGATGTTAATGTTCATCCTATCAACAGTCGAATGTTCGTTTTTACTCATCAAAGTTTCGTCGAGCCAATCAATATTTATTTATATTCGTCGGATAGATCGATGCGATCCCTCACTAATCATAACAAAGCTCTATTGGCCAAAGTGAAAATAAGTCCAACGGCTGAGACTTTTTCGTTTTCAGGTGCTCGGGGTGACAAAGTTTGGGGATGGCATATGCCTCCATCGAGTGGCACTGAGAAACAAGCTCCACTTGCTTTTCTCATTCATGGCGGTCCGCAAAGTAGCTGGTACGATGCATGGGGCTATGGATGGAATTTTCAAACATATTCTTCTCAGGGCTACGCTGTCATAGCTATCAACTTTCATGGTTCCGACTCATATGGACAGAACTTTACAGATAGTATTATAGGCAACTATGGTTCGTTACCTTTCGAAGATCTTCAGTTGGGGCTTAGTTATGCTCTCAATAAGTTTCCATATATTGATCCTAGCCGAGCTGTAGCATTGGGTGCTAGCTATGGCGGATATATGATCTATTGGATTGCTGGACATCCAGAAATGAGCCTTCGTTTTAAAACACTTATTTCTCATAATGGTGTATTTGATACGAGATTTAAGGGTTATTCAACAGACGAGTTATGGTTCGCTGAGCACGATGTAGGTGGCTACACTCCATGGGCTAATCCCAATGCTTACGAACGTTATAATCCAGTTAATCATGTTGCGAATTGGACTCAACCAATGTTAATTATTCTCGGTGCTCGTGATTATCGTGTGCCTGATACTCAAGGAATTGGCGCCTTTAATGCTTTGCAGCGTCGTGGCATTGAGAGTCGGTTACTCTATTTTCCCAACGAAAACCATTGGATACTAAACACTCTTAATTCACTTGTATGGTATGAAAAAGTGCTAGATTGGATGCACAAATGGACAAATTAGATTAATCTTGTAATGTTTTAATCGATCTTATAATCAGTTCAATGTTAAAAACTTGTTTTCTTTCGAGACTATGTTTTATCTCCTATCAAACAGCAATGCTCCATAATGATGATACTCTGATTTTTCAGCATCGAAGACCAGTAGTCAGTTTTGCTTGAAAATACATTTTCTACTCAATTATACTAACCGAAATTATTCATATTTTCAAATTCACAGCAGAAAATCGTTTTGCATTCGTACATGATGGCAATAACGATTAATCTGAGCTAAGAAAAAATTCTTCTCTCTAATGGCCGTACTTAGTTTTAGCGTCACTCTGATTTTACTCCAGGATTAATAATTATGAATGTACCTATAGAATGTAACGAGGTCATCGCACACATTCCTTTAATAAAATGTATATGTTAATAGGTCACACTGCATGGCCTTTTTTAACTGTACACCGGTTGAACAACGATAAGAACTTCGTTTGATAAATTAATAAAGAAGTATGAGAAAATATTTTTTTGTTTTNACAAATGGACAAATTAGATTAATCTTGTAATGTTTTAATCGATCTTATAATCAGTTCAATGTTAAAAACTTGTTTTCTTTCGAGACTATGTTTTATCTCTTATCAAACAACAATGCTCCATAATGATGATACTCTGATTTTTCAGCATTGAAGACCAGTAGTCAGTTTTGCTTGAAAATACATTTTCTACTCAATTATACTAACCGAAATTATTCATAGTGTCAAATCCACAGCAGAAAGTCGTTTTGCACTCGTACATGGTGGCAATAACGATTAATCTAAGCTGAGAAAAAATTCTTCTCCCTAATGGCAGTACTTAGTTTTAGCGTCACTCCGATTTTACTCCAGGATTAATAATTATGAATGTACCAATAGAATGTAACGAGGTCATCGCACACATTCCTTTAATAAAATGTATATGTTAATAGGTCACACTGCATGGCCTTTTTTAACTGTACACCGGTTGAACAACGATAAGAACTTCGTTTGATAAATTAATAAAGAAGTATGAGAAAATATTTTTTTGTTTTTTATATTGTCATTCTGATGAGTGATCAGACGGCTATACTATCTCGATAGGATGTTGACCGATACGGTTGATATTTTCAGTCAGGTAATAACCCACAAGATAGTAGTATTATTTCACATACATTTGATTTTGGATGTCTCAGTGTTAGAGTGATTGTCAATGACTAAACAATGGAAAGGATTTTAATGCTTTTGATTTTAATATTTTATTATTTGCTGAAAAACTAAAAATCACACAGACGCCAAGGCGTTAACAGCTCTGAGATGAAGAAGACAAAATTAGAATTCGCTTCGCCTTCTCTGGCTTTGAAAAATATGCATCTGATGACTTAGTGTCTCGATCATATGAGAGATGGCAAGTTTGTGTCATTTATTGATCGAGAATGAAAATGTGCGATATATTGATTTGTGTGACACTTACTCGTCTTGTGAAGTTTTACACGAGTAAATATGAATGAAGCTAAAAGAGTCCTACAAACATAAAATTATATCCAACTCTCAATAAAATTGTTTATTTTCAATATGATATTCTTTCCAGTATGTGAATAATAGGTTATCGTAAATCCAACTCAAGTGACAAATTTTATCAGTCAATCGAGATACCTAACGCCCCCTTGGTGAAGCCACATAATAGAATCTTTATTTCACATCGAGATATTTGTCATGCAAGACACTCCAAAGACAACGATGGTTGCTTGAATTCGATGTTATTTGTCAGAAAATATTAACGATCGCATTTCAGTCAGTAAAAAACTTATCGCAAAATGGTAAATACAGGATCTAATAGACGAATGTGTTGTCAATTCGGAATTTTAAAGAAATTTCAAGACTTTATCAAGTATTCAATTCATGGCTCAGCGAATCTCTGCCCTTTAATGACAAACTTGTTCGCATGGGTTTGTTTTATTTTCGTTTTAGAACGATATTTGGCATGGTCGATAGCTTCCACATTGTGAATTTGCAAAATATCTTTGTGGAGATGATTTATATCAATAAATTCAAGAATTGAAACAAGCTGCACAAGATTCGTTGCGAGATTTTTTTTTCTTCGGCTGAAGAAAATCAGCAAATGACCCAGCAAATTTTCTTTTAGAACGTTGCAAAACTAACGAGCCAAGCAACAATGTTACCATGTGTAACAACAAATGGCACGCATCTAAGTTGCTTGTTGCAATTTCTAGACTATCTCTAATGCGTGTCACATCTTCAGATTAGAGTCTTGTGTTTCGGTAATGAAGCTAATTTGTGTCAATTGTGCATAGTATAATAGAATAGAAAGCTTTTGAATGGTAATATGTTCAATCTATTGAGAAAAATGACGTAAAATAATACTTATACACGCTCTGAATGCAATCAGAAAACTTTGACTTTTTTATCCGGTTTCGTTCTCATCATCAACAAGAATATCGAAAGCTATGAAATCTTATTCCTTTGTGACTTCATTAATTTTGAAATTACCTCTTTGTATACATGTTCATTTGCTTCTTAGTTGAGCAAATCTACTGTTAAAGCTGAACATTTAAAAAACAACGTGAACTTTAGTGAGTCATGAGTTCGAACAAAAATATCTTGTCGATATTTCCATATCCATTAGGTGGGCGTGCGAAACTTAGAAATAAATGTATTGAACTAATAATTAACAAGAAAAGAATGAATCCACAAAAACAGCCTCTTGAATGAGCGTAGCAAGAGACAAAAACTAGAAAATCTCTTTGTGATCTATAGCGTAGACGGACTTGTTGAAAACTTTTGAAATTGCCTATTGTTTTTTAATTCTTTTTTTTTCATTTCCGTTCCTATCATATTATTCGAACAAGTTTTAGCGTATGAAACACTTTATTTCATGTTAGCATCTCTTTTAGGAGATTGTCAAATCGATGAAATAATTAAGATATTTCTTCTTACATTGGCTCATGCTCTTATTCTGAATCGCTAAAACTAGACTAGCTGAAAAAACCTACGAAGATCTCTAGCGTTCGGTAGAATATGGAAATTTCCAATAAAAACCTAACGCTCAATGACACTTTTCAAAAGGTCCAAGCTACTTTTGAAAATTACTATTAGCCTTTCAAGAAGTAGCATATTTGCATGAAGTTTTATAAGGTTCTCTTAAATAGTAAACAGTTCCTACGAGGTATCTCTTTCTAGAGTTCAAGATATTCGTATCAACTTAAAAACGAGTGATTGTGTAGCTGGAATTTTTTGAACGAATTTCTCAAGGGTATCAACAACGTATTACGTAGTTTCCATGATACAAATTGGCAGATCTTGTGAACATTTGAATACAATAGAACAAAGAAGAAGCATTTTGATCTCCAATTATGTTAATTATACTATAGAATTTGTTCTTTGTACCTGGCTGCAATTTGAACCAACAGATGACTACAATATTCAAATACCAATTATCGTGACCAGCGTGACCATTGTCCGACTGTGATAAAGAGATCCATGATCACACACAACTCTACTCCAGATAATGCCAAGTCATAAACAATTGATATAATGTAGAATATAATTTTTAAAATGCTTCTCAAAACTAATGTAAAGAACACGTAGATCTATATTTATCAAAATAGAGCAAGGATTAAAGAAAAGAGCAAAGAAAAGGACAAGTCATATACAGCGTATTGCATAAGAAGGATAGGATTAGGAGCGACTTATGTTTGGTGTCCTTTGAAGAGAAATCATACTAGCACTTTCGAATATACTACATACATTCCTGTCTCAAAAACAATAGTAAAGACAGACAATATCAAATGAGTACGGTTCAAGATATTGAATTGAACAGTAGCAGTATTGCTGAAATGAAAATTACCGAACGAACCGATAATACCAATGAAATCGAACCGACGGCCGAAGAACTGACAGCATTGGAACATATTTCTGACCAGATACCGCTTGCAGTCTGGCTGATTGTCTTCTGCGAATTTTGTGAACGTTTCGCCTTCTATGGATTTGCTGCTCCATTTCAGAATTATATTCAGTATCCAATACCTGGTCTAGGTGATAAACAACGAGGTGCGCTTGGTCGTGGACAAAGGACAGCTACGTCGTTAACAACATTCTTTCGATTTTTCGCTTATCTTACACCGATTGCTGGTGCCATTCTAGCCGATCAATGCTGGGAAAAATATAAAACGATTTTTTCGCTTGTGCAGTCTATATGATTGGTCTTCTCGTCCTTGTCTTGAACAGTATGCCACCTGTCATTACAGCGGGCGTTGCTTTTCCTGATTTGATTGTGGCGATGATCATTCTAGGTGTCGGTACCGGTGGCGTAAAGAGTAATGTGAGCCCATTGATGGCTGAACAATATACCAGAACGAAGCCAATTGTCAGAGGTAGCCAAAAAATTGTTTGTAGAGCAAGATCAATCTCGTTATCTTTTTGCAGTTATCGGAAGCAAAAAGAAGATTATTGATCCAAAAATGTAAGTCGATTGAGTATTTATCTTCTTGTTGATCGGACTACATGACCCATATTTTAGAACAGTGCAATCGATGTTCAATTGGTTCTATCGGGCCATCAATTTGGGTGCACTATCATCAATCATTACCACTAATACTGAAAAGTATCACTCTTTTTGGCTTGCCCATTTTCTACCGCTGATCGTATTCGTTGGTGTCATTGGCGTTCTATTCATTGGACGTAATCGATATATTCAAAAGCCTTCTACAGGCTCACTACTTGTTCGAATGTTTCGCGTAATACTAACAGCCGTTAGAGTACGATTGAGGCAAGGCAAACAAAGCAATCGCCAACATATTTTGGATTATGCGAAAGAAATCTCATCGCCAACTGATCATAATGGCATAAAGACAGTGGCGGAACCGAACAACAATCAGTTTATAGATGATTTCAAACAAGCAATTAAAGCTTGCCGTGTCTTTGCTTTCTATCCGTTTTACTGGATCTGTTACACTCAATTAAAGAGCAATTTGATATCGCAGGCGTCGCAAATGAATGTCGGTAAGTTGACTATTTCTCTTTTGAAACAACCGAAAAAACTAATCGTTATTCGATCTACAATTCTTTCGCTTTTCTTTCAGGTCCGTTGCCTAATGATATCTTACAGAATATCGATACGATCGTTCTGATTATTTTCATTCCTATTTTCGACAAATTGATCTATCCAACTTTGCGACGAAATAACATCAAACTTTCCTCGATTCTCCGTATTACCTGTGGTTTTCTTTGTGCTTCATTGACCATGGGCTGGGCAGCACTCGTTCAACATTTGACCTATAATACTGATCCGAACTATGACTACACCAACCCGTGTCCTGGCTGCCAAAAATTCAACGATATCACGGTTGCTTGGCAAATTCCATCGTATTTTTTCTTTGCCATCTCGAAAAGTTTTGCATCAATAACCAGTCTTGAGTGCACATACACGCAGACTCCAACATCAATGAAATCCATTGTTATGTCACTTTTCCATTTTGCATCAGCACTCGGTAATGCTCTGCATTTCGAAATGAAGACAAGTGACATAAAGAACAACCAGCGAACAAATAGATTAGATAGCTTTTGGTCTTTAATTTAATCTTATTATATCATACTGATCAGCATCAACAAATATATGTTCTAATTTCAAAAAATAGTCCCATTCATTTACTCTCTATTTTCTGCAAGATCATCGATAGTGAGATTAGATCCCAACTCTTGAGTGTTCTGTAATGAATTGCTGAGACGCTCATGTACACTTTCAGAAGCCTAAAAGTGAATGCCATTACTGATAACCAACTATTACAATTTCAGACTCTAGTAGGTAATTCGCCAATGATATGCAGACGAGAACTCACAGCAAGATTGTTATTGAATTGAATCCATAAATGAAAGTATGTCTGATAAATGACTTGTAGGACGTATTGAAATGCTGTTCTTTCGTACGTTTCCAGCTCAGTTCGAACAGCATCATTAAACATATGTACTCTTCTGTTAGAAGAGAAAATTTAGTTAGATTGTTGCTCATGCTGGTCAAAATACGAGACACTCGTGTCCTACACTCGAAAGTAAGTATAGTCTATCCTTTTACTCTGCGATACCCGTGATTTGCTACGATGAATTCATCGAAAATCGGTAATGATGGTAGTAGAGTGACTGGTGAGCGTAAGCTTGGACAAACGGAAGGTCACCATAAGCTCAAAAAATGTGATTTGTCTAAGTTGCACAATATCTTTTGTGTTTCAATAGATAGTCAACGTTTTTCAATATTAATATATCCCTGTAGCGAATGACGATGACGAGCAAAAGATAGATGAAAATGAAATCAATCCATTGATGGATGTGCTCAATAGGTGGTGTTTCTTATTGATCCGCCAGTTCGCTCAACTAGTCTATGCGTTCAATGTCTAGGACAATTCGATTCTGACCAATCACCTGAAACCATTCAACAAAGATTCCAATTGTTGTCCTTTTGAGAAAATCGAAAACGTTTATTCGATTGATGCAGGAGTTGTTTCGGTGATTTGCATTGGCTTGATCTACGTTAATGTGAGTTTCAAAATGCCTTTGTCGATAGGTCATAGCCTTATTCATACAAAAAAGATCGAACGTTAACTCGAATTATTAGCTACTGCATGTCAGCCGAAATGAGCTATTCTTCTCGAAGGCAATATTTGTTTACAAAAACTGTTATTCGTCATGTAATCGATGCATCTAACTCGACATTATCCCTTGGCCATTCTTCTCCATAAAAATTTCGAAAAATCTGACCTAATCAGTTCGTAATTATCAACAAAAAATCTTACCCAAGAATATCTAGTGCTCAAACAAATAATCATAGTTCTTCTCTTACAATCCAGTCATACAAGTGGTACTCTAGACGAACAACAAGGATGTCGTTCGATTGCAGGATACTTTCACAACGAGCACCGATCACTGAAGTGACTTGTTTCGAAATGATTCCATACGAGACCAAAGTTGTTGAGCAAATGCTGACTCTTTTGAACGAAATTAGTTGGACTGGGCATAGTAGTAGAGTAAGGGACGAACTGAAATTCTGACTCCATTACTAATTGGGCGCATACGAAACAAAATAACTTAAAAGTGCAACTATCGTGTTACGATCGTCATGCAAGTCATTTCAAAACAAGAGTGTGGATATTATAGAAAAGAAGACCTACACCCATACTCGTACCCATCCGACTGTATACAATTATCTAATAGAGACTTCTACCTAACCTAATTAGTTCTGGTAGTCTTTAATGGAAAACTAATTAACAATCTTCAAAACCTTTCACATTTATATTCTTTTCTGGTTAATACCAAGAAACTAAATCGAACAAGAAAAAAAAAACCCATCATGTTCAACATAGAAAAAAAAAAAGTAACAAAAGTTAGTAGAAAAAAACACACATACACATCTTTCTGACTAGAGTGTTTTTGATTTCACTCACTAGACAAAAGGAAAAAGTTGAATATATATTATTAACAAACATATTATTGTTGTTGACGAAAATGTTTATTAATTGAATAGCCACTAGTTGGTTGAATTCTATGACTTTCTTGTTGTTGTAATTGTGCTAATTGTTCACTAGGTGATAAATGTGTATATTCAATAGGTTGTTTAAAACCAGCCGATATAAATTGCATTGGTTGTCTATTTGCTGTTGATGATGATGGTTGAGGTTGGGGTGGTGGTGGAATAGTTACACCACTTGATTTTTTAATTGCTGATGATTTAGGCATCATTGATGATGTTTGACTATATTCAGAGCCACTTCCATAATTAACAAGACCAGGTAATACTGGTTGAAGATTACGAACAGGTGCTTCATTATTTGACATAGGTAAAATTGCTTTTTGTGATACAATTGATTGTTGAACATAATGAACATTTGTTAATGATGAAGGTATATTACGATTTAATGATGTTGATGGAATTGATTTTATTGTTTCAGATGATTTATGTGAATGATGAAGTGTATTCCAAAATGAATCAAATGAAACAAGTTGATCATCAACAAATTCAACTAATTGAATTAAATTGGGTTCTAAATAAAGCACAAAAACAAAGAAATAAATCTTTTTTGTTGCAAAATAATTTTGTATTACCATGAGTTTTTCTTGCATATAATATTTTATCACGTATTTTCTTTTTAAATAAATCTTTATCTTGTGCTGTCCATGGATAATTTGCATCAAAACCATCTAAACGACATAAATATGCTTGTAATGGTAAATCAAGAAATCGTGTATGTAATGGTCGCATTGTATTGGTGCCTAATTCACGTATTTCACCTTGATCAACAAATTGAATCTTAAGTAAAAAAAAAAACAAAAACAACAAATTTATGATCAACAAAAAAATTATTATCAATAGAAAACCCATGCAAAATTTGTTGTTGGTTTAAATTCTAATACACGTGCACGATACCAATGTGATTGATAACGAACAGCAACCATTTGACCACGGCAATATGAAGCAGCTGTTGATATACCTCGACGTTGTTCAGTTGAATATAAATCACTTAAATAATAATTAAATTTTATTATTCATAGATATATTAAATAGAAATATATTTACGCCATATTTCGATGAAGATCATTAAGCATTTGATTTGGTTCGATTTCTTCTGGATAAAGAGCAGCTAGAAAAATGAAAATAAAAAATGAGATTAATTTGAACTTTCTTAGAAAAATACTAATATTATACAATTCGGTATCTAATTTATCAAAATAAATGAACATCTATAAAAAATGGAGGTAAAATAAATTTCAGTACAATGCATTTGTTGAAGTTTTCCTTGCATAATAATAGATATGACATATAGGAAAAGGAAATTTGAGTAGTTAAAAGAATTTCTTTTCGAAAGAGTTACTTTTGAAATTTCGATTAAATATATTGAGAAAAATGTTTCTCGAAAACCAAGACTTTCAAAACCGGCTTTTCAGACTTGACTGAAAATGTAAGTTCATCTCATTAAACAAACATTTCTAAAGAATATAAGGCGTCACTAAGCTGTCATTGATCTATCGTCATCCAACTGCATTTATTCTATGGAAAGCTTCAAAACATGAAACAGTAATATGCGATTATAATCTTTTCACTACCGAACGGAATATATGTAGGTTTGTAGAGAAAGAGTTTAGTACGCAGTAGAACTTAATAATGTATATGCTACTAGGTAGATAGAGGATTTTGGTTTTGTAGTTAAAAATCATCAAAAAATTTATAGTCACATTGATTAAAATTTTCGTAAAAACAACAGAAAAACATCTTCAGGATCTCTTGTAGAATGAGTACCCGTTCGATAAAAATAGATCACAATCAAATCCAAAAAACTAATTTGAGACCCTTTTTCCCAAAATTTTGAATATAAACTCAAAAAGTAACTCTTCTCATAGGATATTGTTTCAGCTATTCAAATCTTTTTTCTCGATCTGTCGTAGCTATTACCGTTCAGAAGAAAAAAACTAGAATAATACATTGCACTTGAACTTTTTCCCTTCACTTTAGTCTAGTAGATAAACTCTTCAAACAAAAAAAACAAAAAACAAAGAAGATATTGAAATAAAAAAATCAAGCAATTATTTTAGTCTCTAATATTCGATAAAAAAATAAATATGTAGTCAATAGTAAAATACATACGTTCTTTGCCTTGACCAAGTGAAGTATCAATACCAAATGGATATCGAATATAAAATTCACCTGCTGTTTTCACATATGTTACTTCAACAGCATACCAATGTCGTGGTTCCGGTTCAACAACAGGTGGACAATATGGTAAATTTTCTATATCAAATGAAGTAAAAAAAAAAAAAGTTAAAGATTAAGTCATATCCCTACACTCGTTCAAAAAAGTCGAATTTTAATTCAGATATATTCGAATCAAATAAAATTTTCAGCTTGGTTCCATGATATTTTCAGAAGATACTTGTTAAAAAAGAATTAAAACAAAATAGTTCATTCGGCAAGCAAGAAATCTATGTAAGTTTGGAACTGTTTTGTTCTTCTTGCAAGTCTTAACTTTTAAACTGAGGTAAACAATACTGTGAAATGAACATTTCTTGTCCAAAAAACTATCGTTTTTCTTTTTCTACTAAAGTTTAACTTAAAATTCGAACTCTATCAGATTCTATACCTAATTATGCTCTTTCGAATCAGAAAAGAAACTAACGATTAACTAACTTTGACGAAACTCATTCGAGAATCGTGAATTTCATGATCATAAAAAATTTTCACTGAGACAAAACTAAAAAGAACATTCTATATTAATCATTTTAAACGTAAGATTTAACTGTTTTCATGAATGTGTACTTCTCTTGAACTATAAGACGAATAAGAACTTATTTATCCATAAATATTGAAATAACAATCTAATTTTTGCCGCAAAAAATCAAAATTACTGGATTAATCTATATTCATCTCAGATGAATTAAAACGTTTGAATGAAATCCGAATTTTTTCTACTAGTCTATTAAACATGATCTTCCCCATGTCGGTATGATTGTATTTCTTGCTCGTATTAGCTTTCTGTTCGGAACAACATTAAATAGATTGCACAATTTTAAACAAAAATAGCTTTTTCTGATAAGTGTTACTATTTTTATATAATACTGAACTGATGTTTTCAGTGCATGTGTGCAATCATCAGGTTTGATCGCAAACATCAACTTGTCTTCAATCGGTCCGCACATCCTCTTTCGCTTTTGAACAACGTATTCACTGGAAATATCATGGAACCAAGCTGAAAATTTTATTTGATTCGAATATATCTGAATTANAATCGAATGAGCACATAGAGAGACATGTACGACGTACTTTTTTCCAAACGTATAGAAAAGTTCTAATAACTGAAGTTTCGAAAAAAAAACTTTATTGATGTAGGGGTCTTCAGAAAAACCGCTGTAAAACCAATAAATTATAGTGCATTCGAAAGTAGAGATTATGGGCTATCTAACTATGTATAAATCTCGAAATCGATATTTTTGTCGAAAATTGCTTTTTTTTTTGAGGTATGGGGGGGGGGGCCTTAAAATGAAACTTCTCTAGAAATGTATTAAGAAAGTAGTATATATATGATAGCGAGACGTTATTTATATAAAGTTTGTGGGCGAAAGGGTATTCACTGTGTTATCTAGGTGGACATTTGACTAAAAAATGAAAATAGTGCTTTTTGAACATTTAAATATAGGGAAATATATTTTGAAATATAGTCTATCTAATGGTATAAATAATTTTGTTACAATCCTCAGAGAAATTGAAAAACCAGTTGCCCAAAAATCAACCTGAAGATTGATATCTAACATAGGAAACTCAAGTACATTTTTTGTGGATTGTACCGAAGATTTCTCAGTTTTTCTAACTTTGAAAAAATCTTTTTCTTGACAGCGTTTTTTTTTGTGTCATATCCAATCATTTCTAAACAAAGAAATTCATCTCTAGTCAAGAAAGTCATACGATTCTTTGCCATATGAAAAGTACACGCAGTGTGGTGCAGGATCCAAATTATTATCCTTATACTTCAACACACCTGTCGAATCGTCTTTCACAAAATAATAGTAACGATGCATCCTTATTGATATTTAACAAAGCTAGTAATTGAAGAAGTGAGTTCAATTAAAGTGCTACTACTTTTTTTTAGACAATAAATTTTTATTGATTTTGTTCATTTTTAAACAGGATAGGAAATAAATGTTCATCAATGAGTAGTTTAAAGACTTTATCTCGTTTAGTTATTACTTTTTAAATTTTTTAATATTTATTTTAATTTATGATTTCCAAATATTTAAATTCTAATCAATTCAATAAAGTAATTACCTGTACTCCACTATCTTGTTTCATAACATTTGACATATTTGAAACATTGTTTGGTTGCCTTTGAGGAAGCATGAGATGTGTTGCTTGTTGTAGAACTATTAAAAATAAAAAGAATCGATACACTCAAGTGCTTTTATTTTATATCATTTAACAAACTTTCTTTTGGTAAATTGTAAGCAGCATAATCATTAAGATCAAGACGAGGGCCAACAATTTGTACAATTTCAGCAAGTGATGCTCGTCGACCATGACGTAATGATATTAATGTTTCAGCAACATCCTAAACAAAACTATAATAATAAAAATATTATTTTAAATCTATATACCGTATGTTCATCAATTGTAAGTTGTACAAAATACATTGGCCTAAAGAAAAATACAAGAATTTAAATTATCGTCTGTTTTTTTTTGTTTTTCTAATATATATTCACCATTGTAAAGTTGGTTGTGCAATAATACGTACATCAAGTGGTTTAGTTAAAGTATCTTCATGAAATTTAAAACTAGCTTTTTTTGTCCATGAACTATTATTATCACCATTGATTGGTAATAACTAGAAAATAAAAACAATTTAATTAAAATATAGTTTTTTTTATTTATAAAGAAAAATTTGAATTAAAACCTCAAGTGCTGCACAAATAGCTTGAGCAGGTAAACGAGCAAAAGCTGGATCAAGTGGACGTAATTCATTAATATTTCGTTCTTCATTATTACCGTAATCAAGATAAACAAGTTCAACAGTTGTTTCTAATTAAGACAAAATAAAATTTCAAATAATAAAAATTTGTTCTGTATAAAGTGGTGAAAACAAAATCAAATAGTTTTTTTTTAACGATACCATTTTTAAAAAGTACATCATCAGAAACTATCATATTTTCTACGAATTTCCCTTAAAAGTATCTCAAAAACCTGAAAAAAGCGTTTTTTTAGTCGATTGGTACATTTCCGAAGAAAATAGTGAATATAAGTTTAAAATGAATTTTTTGTAGCTCGTTTCCGTTAGGCTGTAGCAATCGAAAATGGTGCGCAAGTAATAACACTGCTTAGATTATTCTAAAACTCAGTAAGTTTTAGCTAATCTAAATATTTCAGATTTCGGCATTTAATATAGTGAAAGAATATTTATTGTAGGTGTCAATCAGTAGGACAATAGTATTATTGATCTAGCAAGGTCAGCATAGGACGGACATAGAAAAATAATTGAATTCTAACTCTAAGCAAAACACAATAATATATGTCAAATTCGTCGAAAAACATGGTATACTTAGAAGTTTACTGAACGATTAAATCAATGTATATAACAGGCTAATATGGTAGTTGAATCAACACAACGAAGAATAATATGATATTTGATGCTTCCTACGGCATACATCGTATATATTATCATTATGAAACAACAAGTTATGTGTTAAGAATGTATTTGATAATATGGCAAATCCTTTGACAATATTTTATGAGTTTTTAATAATTAGAGTTTTTGAATTCCACATTTGGGCTTCTCATTGGATCGCTTCGACGAGTTTTTTTGGCAAATTGTGATATTTTAAATTTTTTTAGAGAAGGTCGTAGGAAATGCGGTGGGGCCTTATTTTGTGCTCGTTAAAATGATGTTGTTAAAAAGTAGCTTTTAAGATGTGAAAACTGTCTTTTTTTTTCCCATCAACTCAATGTTCTTACCAGAACTATATCGTTTTATTCGAGCACGATACCATCGATTATCAACTGAATAACGAGCTGCACAACAACTCATTTCCATTGGTTTAAAAAGTATTGATGGTGGATCAGTTGTTGAATAATAATCACTAAAAATATTGAAAATTTTATTAAATAAAATAAGAAGAAAAAACAAAACAATGATGGTATACTTCATGCTTTGAGCAAGTTTTTCAAGATCATGTGTATATAAAGTATTTTGAACAAAAAAATATGATGGATTGACAGCTATTGAAACAAGTGCTTGAAAATCTTCGCCAACATTTAATAATAATGTTTCAATGTCAACTATTGATAAAGCTAAAATTGAGATTGAAAATTTTTAATCATTTGTTTTTGTTTGAAAATGACTAAAAATGTCTAATGTAGAATATACAAATATCGATCTATCGAATATGTATACATAGAAATTTTAATGTTCTTACAGCATAATTCACTGTTTATTCAATATAAAATACGAGAGAGAGAGAGATAAAAAAAAATGTAAGAAAACATTTGAGCAAAATATATGATCTAAAAAAGTTTAATGATGATCCATTAAGAACTGTTATTAAAAATCATTCATATTTTTTTTTCACAAGATTTCACTATTAATTTATCTCAAAGAGTAATTGTGAGAAAAACTTCTCGAAATGATTGACCTTTTTTTTTTGCGAGCCTATATTTCTACTATCCTTATTTTTGAATTGTGTTCGTTGTTGAAAGTAGTTTGTCCTGAAATTCTCAATACAAGAACATATGTGAATTTTTTCTCACAAGAATCTTCCTAAGATAAAATGAGCATAACTGAGAAATCCGATATCATAGACTCGACTTATTGATATTCTTCTTTAATGAAATATCTGCAACAAATTCAAGTGTCCGTTTAAAACTGATGAGTTATGACAATTGCTACAAAAAGATATTATACTTCAAAACAAATGAATACACATACGAGGTAACTACCGGAACTGATATCCGCCGTGTCAAGTTATATTTTGCACATAAGAAGATACCGTAAAAGAGTTTATCCTCATAGATCTTTGGAGCTGAATTGATATTGTTTATTCTTTGAACTATTAGTTCTATCTTTTTTACTTTTAAGAAGGAAAGGAAAGTGGAAATCTTTCATGTTGTTATAAATTAATAGTATCGACGACGGGAGGAATACAAGAATCATTTTAATATCAGTAGCTCTACTCGATATGTTTTCTTTTTCTCGTCATTTTTTCCTCCTAACATCATTTTACTCTTTTAATATTGATATTTCATATTTGTTTATGTCAGGATTTAACTAATTTTTGGTAGTTGTCAATAAAAGAAGTCGATTAGAAAGAAAAATTTTCTTTTCGCCTTATATAAAATGATAGCATGTGTTGAAGAAACTTGAATAGCGATCCTGACTGATGTCAATCTATGCTAAAATCAAAAACTTAAGAGATAATTCTAATGGATTTTTATCAGGATCTTCTAAAAACCGTAGGCTTATTTATTTTTTTATTCTAGTACTGAACCTGACACGATAGGATTTCTTAAAGCCACGTCTTTCTACTTGGTTAAAGTCGGATTCACGAGTTAACATACGTTTTTAGCTATACTCAATCTGATGGCAATGCTTATTTTCTTCTCCACATATCTCAAAGAACGAGAGGCAAAGGTTAATACAACATGTGAATCTTGACTTCATCGACTTTTCAATGAAATCATAATGATCTATCAAGTTCACAACGGAGTGCACTTAATCCCACCCCCCCCCCCCCCCCCCCCCCCCCCCCCCCCCCCCCCCCCCCCCCCCCNTTAGGATCCGATAACATTTTTAATTTTCTATGTATTATATAGGAGAATTCTGATTAGCAAAACCAATCGGTAGAGCTTTTCAAAAGCTATAAATTCATGGAAAATTTGCCAAGAAAAAAGCTGTAATTTATCTGAAATGTAGAAGGTTTCGTTCGTATTGGCGAAGCCGGCTTTTTTTTACCAATGTTCAGCAATTTCGCTTATGAAAATCATATTTTCAAGCAAAACAGATCGTATATTCGAAATCAGCACAAAACTGACGCCGATCTATGCGTTTCAAACTTTTCTGATGAGTTTAATTTTCGATCAAACTTGCAGCCTTAGTCTCGTTCAGGACCGTCTCCGACAGAAGTTGAAAAGTGAAAGTCATCAGAAAAGTTTGAAACTCTTACAGATCGACGTTATTCTGGGGTACCAGAGCCCGAAAACGAACCGAACTCGAACCGAACTAAGACGGTTCGGTTCGGTTCGAGTCGAACCGAACCGATCTCGATCCGGTTTTTTAAAATTTAGTCGAACCGAACCGAACCCAAACCGCTCTTTCAAAAACGTAGACGAACCGAACCGAACCCGAACCGCCCTTTTTAAAACAGAATCGAACCGAACCGAACTCGAACCACTTCTTAAAAAGCGACGTTAAACTGAACTGACCCTAACTAATTTTTGAAAAGCGAATAAATATGGACAAGTACATAAGAAAAATGATTAACTGAGCTATGATCTTTTTTGTAAGATTGCGATGCTATATGGGATTATCAAGCGATCTTTAATCGAACATTTTACATCAGGGATTGTGGACAATCAATTTACATTTACAAAAATTTATCAAGTCAAGAAATAAATTGTAAAAGATTTCATTTTATTTTGAATTTAAATCGAATTTATATAAAATTCAAAAAAATTCAATAAACTCAAAATAATTTAGATTATATCTAAATATATTTGAAGTATTTTAAGCTCCATTTTAATTAATTTAGGTTTTACTTTGTATAGTTATCTATAGAAATCAAAAGAAACCTTTTATCTCTCAGGTCTACTAGCAATGGTATCTGTACAAATTTTTTATTATCGTTAGAAAATAGTAGGAACGGAGCACGCCCGTTTTCTTACGGGATCTTCTGTAGTGATAATCGGATGTTAACGTGTAATAGCAGTTTCTCTCTTTATTTCTGATTTATTTTTCTTGAAGTCATGTATTTTGACAATTAGGTTGTTGCATTTTAATTCACAAAAATTTATTATTTCCAGAAATTAATTCTCAAAAATTTAAATCTAAAATAATTTTAAATTTATTCCACATAACAATTTAAATTTATTTTAAATTAAAATGTTGATATCAGAAAAATTTTTATTTAATTTAAATTTATATTGGCAACAGTTTTGGTTTAAAATAAACTTACAGGAAAATGCCACGCCTATCAGGAACCGAACCGAACCGATCTCGAAACCGATTTTTTTAAAATTTAGCCGAACCGAACCGAACCGAACTCGAACTCACTTTTTAAAGACATACTCGAGCCGAACCGAACCCGAACCAATTTTTTAAAACTTTAGTCGAACCGAACCGAACTCGAATCCATAAAAGTCGGTTCGATTCGGGCTCTGGTAGACACAGAAACAGCTCAAGAAACGTAAGAGAAGATATCAGATCAAGTGAATATAATTTTAAAAAAGGAGAGAAACAAATCAAAAAAATAATTTGAAAATATAAAACATATGCCTCCAAGAATCTCACTTGATAAACACATAATATACATACGAAAGTTTGTAAAACTTATTATTCATCTCATTTTATAAATTTTCTTTCCTAAGAAAAGAAAAGTGTCAGTCCTAGTATATACTTAAAGTCGAATCGAAAATTCAGTAAAACGTCTATAACTCAAGTTAAAATTTATTATGATATTCATGATATGTTAACTTACGTTGACTAATTGTTGTACTAATATTATGTTCAGTTAATTCATCATCATTTTCATCATCATCATCTTGATAAAAATTTGAAACTAATGGTACTTGTTGTACAACAGAAATAGGAACAATATTTTCTTGTTGTGGTTTATTTTTAAATCGAATATCTTCAGCTGGATAACGTATTGGTCGTTCGATATTTCCATTTTGAATTTTTGATGATAAATTTTTTTCTCGTGAAATAATAGTATTATTTTGTGATCGATTTATATTTGGTATTAATGGTTGTGTTATAGATATATTTGTTTTATTTGATAAAAGTTTTTCTTGTTGATATTTATTATATTTATCAAGAGCTGATTTAAAATCTTGACGAATACCATTAGCAGTTGTTTGAAGATCTGATATTTAAAAAAAATTTTAAATATTTTTTTTTAAGAAAAATTTGTCAAAATTTTACTTGCAATAGCATCAAATAAACTATCAATATCATGTTCAATTTTTTTGAAAACTTCAGACATATTATTATTAGTATTAATTTCATGTTCATTTTTATCATCATAATCAATACCAGCACGAATTATTTGTAAACGCATATAATTTTTTTCTTTAGATGGAAGACAATACCATGATTTAAGACCATCATCATTTAAATCAAAAAATTCTCCTATAGTTGGATCAAATAATTGAATAATATGTGTACGAAAATCAAATGTTCTTGGCATTTGTTCATGTAAACATTTATATATTATATCTAATGATAGATTATCGGGTAAATTTATTTGAATTTGTTGTCCATCATACATAACTGTTGTATTTACCATGATTATTGATCTGAATATGAAAAATAAAAATACAAAAGAATTAAATAAAATAATATAATTATTCAAAGAAATTTTTTATACAACAAATAATACGATTATTTTTCTCTTCCTCTATGATAAACGATTGAATGAAAAATTTAATCACATTGTAAGTTGAATGTAATAAACGAAATATGATAATTTTAAATAGAAGATGGCAGTAGTTCATGGATAAGGGCAAAACATAAAAAATTCAATATGTTTATTTTAATTAATAGATTATTCGTTTATGTAGATTTTAATAATTTAATCAAGAAAAATACCCATTTCTTTTTTTCTAAAAAACATCATTCGAAATTGATGATTTAGTTCTTTTCTATATTCAAAATTTGAATATAAAACTTTTGTGAAATAAAGCTATTCCTTAGCTTTATACATTATCAATAATATGAAAATTATTATTCTTTTCTGTAAAAGGATGTTGTTCTCTATAAGAGCAATGCTATGATTTTTTTAAATATTTTATTCCCGTTTGAATTGATTTTCAAGTTTCGTAAAAGTTACTTGACATTAAAATATGAACAATTATTCGTAAATTATTGATGTCCACAAAACGAAGAGAGTAGATGAATTTTTCAAAATTTTTTTTTTTAATTTAAATTCCATATATTTTATATTGGAATATAGAGCAGATCGATTTGATCTTTTTTTTTGTGAAGAAAGAGATTAAATGAGGTAAAAGCATGTGATCCTGTTTCCGCAGAAAGACGCAAAAACTTGAAAGTCGTATTCTAGGTTGAAAAATCTACAGATTTCCCGATGACTTCTTCTGTTGTTTTTGGATAGTAATCAGCCATCAGTCAACGACAAGATTTCGAAAACTATCTAATCGGTAATAATATGTCCAAGTTCTATTGATATACGATGCTTTCCTACATCTTTCCGATGTCTGCAGTTATATAACGTGAAAAGACGAGTTTACTTTTGAAGAGTAAAATCTTTGAATGATATTGAAAACCAATTCAAAACAATTCATATCCAACAATAAAAAAATCTATCAATTTTTGAATAGGACAGACGAATTGATTTTTAGAGGAATCTTCTTTTGAAAGTTTCATATAGAAAATTTTCAATTCACCTTATCCTTTTCAAGTATTCTAAGATCGATTTAATAGAAGAATTCTTCCATTGTTCATAACTCATATAAATTCTACACTTGAACTTTGTCTTTTTCATATTAATCAAACAAAAAAAAAAAAAACTGAATAAATAAACATTATAAAATGTTTTTTTTTTTTTTTTTGGTTTTGTTCTGTTTTTATTGAAAACTATTTATATAACAAAGAAGAAAAAGAAAAGGTGGAAAGTAAAATTCTATTGCTGTTTTTCTTGATGTAATAAACTCGATATAAACATTTCAAATTTTTGTAATGTTGATATTCCACAATAATCATCTAAATTAATCGAATCGTATTTAATTCCTTTTGCTCCTCCTATTCGTTCATTTGAATCATCATCCATATGTGTATCATCATTACGTTCACGACGTTTTCGTACAGCTATTTGTAATTGTAAATCATCACCAATGCGTATTCCAATTGATCTAAAAAAAAAGAATTCATTTTATAGAAAGAAAACAACCAGTCGGATATAGTGGCCTAGTCGAAATCCATATGCCATATATTTGGTTTTGTTGAGGAATTTTCGGTGCATCGAATGATACATAAGAAAAATTAAGTTTTTATGAAAATTTTCATCCATTAAGAGTCGATATACTGGTTATAATGCTTCAAGAATATTATGATGCCTAATATATTCTTCAATTTGCTCTTTTGTTCAAATCTAGGCTATTTTTTGAGTAGATGATACTTAACCAATAATCAAAGGTCCTATTAAAAATCTTTATATAACAATAATTATCACGGTATAATTGATATAAATAACTTTTTTATAAACGAACAAGTTCATTTTTGAAATTAGCATAAGATATTTATAGATTCTTGTAGGGTTTCATGCAGAAATCAAAACTGAGTAGTCTCGAATAGAAATTTGAAAAAGTAATAAGAAAAATAACAGGCTTCTTTTTTGCATTCGTATTCCCATACTCCCCTCCTCAGGGGTCTGGAAGCCAAAAATTTTTTCTATTTATATCAATTCATTAACGATACTCTACGGATTTTTGGTACATGACGATTTTTAATTGGACCGTTGACTATTATTAATAAACCTCCCCTTTCATATACGAAAAACAAACACTATTGTAGGAAAAAAATCTTGTAAGTTGACAATCAGTCTTTACCGTTCTGAAAGATGGCATGTGTAACACATACAGATTTTGACATTGTGGACTTTCGGAAAAAATTTAACGTTGGTATTCTTCTGTTCTAAGAAAGCAATAATGAAAACTATTGATTATAGAAAATTCAAGAGAACGTATAACTGTATCGAATTGAGTTTTAAAAAAAATTTGCATAAATTTGCCTTCAAATACTCTATGGATTATAAAACTTAATTTCTGATATGCCATTCCATGCATCATGATTTACTTCACAAAATCACATATACGGCATCCTAATTCAGGATAGGCCACCGAATCCGGTAAGGTCATATTCTTTTTTTTTTTTCGAATTTTACGTTGGTATTTGCGAATGATCAAGTTGAGCGCTAAATTGAATTTCGCTAAGTCTACCAACTGTTGGTGCCATTGTACTACCAACAACTAACCAACCAAAAATTTTTGCTAATGTACAAGCAATTGTAAACTTAAAACAAGCGATCTAAAAACAAAAGCCATTTTCATTTTAATAAGAAAAAAAAATCGATAATTTAATATTTACTTGATTAATAAAAAATCTTTGAACTTCTTCAACATGATGTTGAAATTCGACTAGATGAGATTTATATTGAATTTTAACTTGACATTCTTCAATTTGAAACATATAAGACCACCTAAAAAGAAAAAAAAAATTTCCAAAGAGTCTTTGTCTTTGAAGAAAATATACCGGCACAAAACATCATAACCAGGTGCGATAAGATGAACACGACCGTATGTTGATGTTGTTGAACTAAAAGCGCTTATATTTACAGTCATATTTATATCACAATTTGTTGCTAAATTATTTAATACATTTAAAATTCTAAATGAATACAAAAATAGTTAATGAAGTAAATAATAATTTAAGAGAAAAATTATGAGACTATTGAGTTTACGAAGCATTCGATGTTTGAAACCACCAACCCATAAAATTTTAACTTTAAAAAATATTTTATGAAATTTCAACACTATCCCCTATTCCAGTGAACAAACGCTATTAAACCTGTACTCTTCTTCTTTTCAACGAATCATATTCAATATTTTATAAATTATACAAACAAAGAGAAAATTAAAAAGTGAACAAAATGAGTAATTTCAATGTGATATGACATCAACAGACTCAATTTTCGTAAGGCCAACTTAAATAGAAAATAACTCTTTTCATGAGTCGGCTTGTCCACGTAATTGTCTCCTTCGCTGATCAAGTTTTGAAAAATCAAAAAAAAAAAGTTTTTTTCGAGTTCAGCAGATTGTTATATGTTACCAGACGTATATTTTAGTGCTGATTCCGAATTTGATATTTATTTTATAAGGAAACTAAATCTTGGCGTCGAAAAGTGAGTTTTATAATTTTCCAAAATCGTATTTTGAATTTTTTTCGCTACTGGGGAGTCATAGAGTCCGAAACATTTTCTGATTTAGTGTGCGGTTTATGAACTATAGGTTCTATAGATCCACCTGATTCTTGCGTGAAAAGATTACTAAGATACGAAAGATTAAGATATATAAAACTGAAGTCATTCTGAACAAGTTAAGCACCTTAAACATTGAAAAAAGGCTTAATGTGTCATAACGACGAAAATCGTGTCACAGCGTTACGAAAAATGTCACAGCGTTACGTTGGTTTTTTTTACTTTTTTTTACGAATAATAATATCTAGAGGAAAAATCTTTTTACCATTCGATAGCTCGTTTTCTGCTTTACAAAGTTGATTTCAGGCCTGTTTTAATTGGAGACAATCATTCGCAGAGAATTGAAAGATGAGTCAGAGCGTTGGAAACTTAGGGTCGTTTTATGTCAGTGTTACGTGACTATAAACCGTTTCTGGAAACTAGAGAGTTTTACCTAAGAAAGTCAAATTTATAGTGTAAATACAATTCGTCGAGCTGCGTCGAATGGCGTTTGAACGAGCTCTCTAGCTACTATAATTTTCGGGATATTTCAAAAACGTCACAGCGTTACACTTGGACAAGCCGGAGTATAAAAAGTTAGTTTGATAACAATCTATCATCAGACAAAATATAAAATCAAAGAGTTCAAAAAAAGCTAAATGGTATTTACGAAGCATAATAATAATGTTCACATCTCTCGCTCTACTACATATAATGATTTTTCAATAGAAAAAAATTTTCGACAGCTCAATCGATCGACTTACACTTCTACAAAGAATTTTTTTGAATAACTCATAGGAAGAAAAACGAACATCCCTTTTACAGGATATTTTTGTTTTGTTTCCTTTGTTCTCATATGAATTCAATAGTGGTAAGAAGTGAGTATCGACTAACTTTTTTGAAAGAAAGAATATTGAAAGTTAAAATATTGTGATTGCTGTTTACAGACATCGATGTACAAAGAAAAATCTTTCCTTCGTTTTATCAAGTGTCTTATATATTCGGTAGTCTCATAGTGTCTATCTTAATGAATTCTTTTTTTTACCGAGCTCGAATAACTTGATGTTGAGCAAGGTCAATAATTGTTTGTAAAATTGATTTATTTTCACTAATAGATTTCAATTGATTATAATTAAAAGCATTTACACCAGCAATACGTCTTAATGCAGGTACGCCTAAGATAAATAAAATTTTATAAGAGAAAAATTTTAAATTATCTATTATATACCTAACATAAGTGTACTAGGCTTTAATTGTGAATAATGAAAATTACGAAGAAATTGTTGACGTAATAAAGCACATAAAGAATATTCTAATAAACCAATATGTGCACCCTAAAATGATTTAGAAAATAAATTCTGAAAAAAACAGAAAAATTTTTCTTTTTCTTACGCAAAGTGTTGATTCTGTTTGAATGCTTGGATCAAATTCACTTGTACGTAAAAGACTTATTGTCATCATTACATCGGAAAGAATCTAAAATATTAATTTTATTTTAATAAAAATAAAGAATTAGAGACTAAGAAAATCTCATTGTTTGTTTCGATTTCTAAATCGAAGCGTCTTGTTTAATATCTAATTTAGTTCGATATGATATTTATTCCTATTATTCAAAAAGAAGCTTGAGAAAAAAACCATCCTAATCCCCAGTCTCCTATACAAAGTTTTTTTTCCTTTCAGAAAATTTAAACGATTTTGAGCAGAGATTTTCAAAATCTCTGTAATAATATTAGCCTTACTATTTTAAGATACTCAGCGAAACAAAATCTGAACACTATGTATATGTTAATCGAAATTCCAGTTTTTGTAAGAAATTAACTTATTAATTGGCGCAGTCTTCCATTATATCCAGTACGTCCACTAGAAAAACAGTAACTTTAATTATAAAAAATTTTTTTAAGTACCAAAAACTCACCAAATGCCCTCTGAATTTCAGATAAAGATTTTTCTTCTGGGTGAATATTGACTGTGTTACTACTATTAAGTGCACAGAGAACAATCAAAAATAAACTTAATGTATGCATTATAAACCTCATCATGTGAGAAGATGAAGCAATATTTAGTATAGATAAACTGTCTTCAGTGACTATGAAATACCTCAAAGAAAAATTGACAATATGTATCAAAAACACATGTAATGTTTCAAAATTAGGTTTTTTCATTATTCATTCCCTCGGTTTTCTATTACTGTAACATCATAGAATATTAAACTGCTCTCACCTACTCAATATCGTCATGAAAGAAAAACAAACTAGAACATCTCATAACGTTTAGTCTTCTTTTATCTACCATATGGTCACTCGAGTAACAAAAGCCATTCTGCACCAAGAGCAGAATAACTGATTGATCGGATCTCACTATTAGTATATAAAGTAGCAATTAACATATCCTACACCTACTTCGAGGATTTTCTTTATGCACTGAGTCTGAACTTAAAAGCAATATTCAAGCTGTGAAAGTTCTCTCGTTAGCAACAACATACACTGTAAAAAAAAACGGAATTTTACCGAACCCTCCAAAAAAGTTTCGTAGGTGTCTAAAAGCTTCCAAATGCTTAAAAAAATGGTTGTTAAAATCTACGAAACCTTAAAAGGATCGGGCCCCGGGTACATCGTCCGAAGCATCTCCTACGAAACCTATTTAGGTTCCGTAAAGCGAAAAAAAGGTTTCGCAAGAAAATACGAAACCTTCATAGTTTCCTAGTAACCCTATGGTTTCGCA